AAGTCATGATTTTTCCTTCATACTTAATGGTCATATGAGAAGTCACAACTATACTTATTAAAGGAATACAAAAACAAATCAGCCCATTCCCAGAAACATACTGCGCTCCTCCAGAGGATGGACGCCTTGCGCCATCCACCTCAGTAGGGCCTTGCCATTGCCTGAGTCAGGGGAGGGGCGCAGCAATAATGAATATTTTTATTTTACTTTCCATGTGCAGATACAGTTAGTTTGAAAATGAATCATAGTTATCTATAAAACAACTTAAATTACATTTTTTGATATTAGAATTTTTAAAAAATTAACTAAGTTTTTTGCTAGTCATTCTTGAAAGGAGATGCACTTGCAAATTATTGCAACAGTTATGGAAATAATTTTGCATCGGATATGTGAATGTGAGAAAACTGCCATACAAAAGTAAAATAATCCAATGAACCATAATAACAATATTATTAATGTATGCTTTTGGTAGAGGATTTTCAGAAAGTTTTTCCCCTCCCCACTTTTCCTTCTTGTACTAAATAAAGAATCAGGAAATGAAATAACTGAAATGTTGAATTCTTTAGGGTGTGCTCACAGTTCACTACATTTCATCTAGATCATTAACTTTTTAAAAGCCTGAGATAGGCCAAGCTGTATCAAAGCTGTTTCATCAGATCTATCACATTCATTATTGATACAATATTGCCCCCATCAGCATTGGTCATGCACTGTGTCCCTTTTCACCTGGAAAGTATCATTTTCAAGTTACCTGAAACGTTTTTCATTGATTGACCTCATGCTGGTGCCCGATTACCTTTTCCACTTTGCATTGGTGAAAGCTATTTGTGTCATCGTTTTATTACCTCATAAGTTTAAATATTTTAACCTACTTCCTTCCACAATAAAATAATATCCAAGAGTAGAAAAAAACTTGCTTTGGTGATCATTTTATATAAAGATTTCCAAGCCAATGACACTAGTTTTTGTATGGGAATATGATAGTTACTTGGAATGTCTCTTTCTGTTTAGTTTATGAATGTGGTTTTATTTATGTTTCTATGTGTATTCTCTGTGATTTTTCTCCTTTTTATGTATATATGAGTAGTACTACTTTACTAGATTACTTAATAAAAGATATTGTTTCAATACCGGGGCAGAGAGGTGGGTGGAGGTTGTTGGATTGATTACTTGATTGATTTTGATAAATCAAAGTAGGGTGCTTACTTTATAATTTTATGTACCATAGGAACATAAAATCAACTTAATAGTCTTTCTCAAATGAATAACGGATATTTTATTTTATTGCAGGATGGTGTGGTTCTTGTTCATTGTAATGCAGGGGTTTCCAGGGCTGCTGCAATTGTTATAGGCTTCCTGATGAATTCTGAAGAAATTTCATTTACCAGTGCTTTTGCTTTGGTGAAAAATGCAAGACCTTCCATATGTCCAAATTCTGGCTTCGTGGAGCAACTTCGCACATATCAAGAAAGCAAAGAAAGCAATAAGTATGACAAAATACCACAATTGGAAAGTGGCAACAGTTCATGAGTTGCATTCTAAATGCAGACGATAGACTAATGTAATATCTGAATTGGCCTCTGTAGCTGTCTTTTCCTCTTTAGGAGAGTAGACTACTAAATTTCCTTTTCTTTTACTTTTTACAAATGGAAATGGAAATCAATTTGATTGTCCTGAGCTAGTATATGAATAAATTTTTAAATTATATTACTTTCTGTTATTATAATGCTTGGTAAAGTTAATTACTAAGAGAAAATAACAGTGAATTATGAATCATTGATTTTTACAGAAGAAAAAATTTAAATTTAAATTCTATATTATAGCATGGAAAGAATAGATCAGTTAATGAAGTCTTTAGTATTTTTCTGTTCTAACACCTGTTTTCATGAGTGAAAAAACTTGAATGCTACTTGACATACTGTTTTAGAGAAAGGTAAATTTTTCGTAAAGAATATTTTAAAGATTAAAAATGAATACCTTCAACCTCCCAAAAGAGTCCCAGAATCTAAAGGTTTATACAGCATTTATGTAGTAGTAACTAGGCATGGTGGCATGTGCCTATAATTCCAGCAACTCAGGAGGCTGAGGCAGGAAGATTGCAAATTTGAGGCTAGCCTGGCCAATTTAGATCCTGTCTAAAAAATAAATAAACAAACAAACAAACAAATAAAACAAGGGCTGGGTTTGTAGTTTAGGGTAAAGAAGTGTCCCTGTGTTCATTCCCGATTACCAAACAACAACAACAACAACAATTATATAGTGGTTGCAATATAGATAAAATTTTTAAATTCTTCCATGAAAATTAATAACTACTTTTTGGTTTTCAATTCTATTACCTGCATTTTTCATTTTGAATGCTTTCTCTTACATAATTATGATGTTACAATTCTTTAACTAGATAACATAGTCTCTTACATTTTGTTTTTTTATCTTAGATACCTAGCATTCTGTTTAGGGATCTTATGTCATAAATTTTTTTGATCTTCTTGGATGTGTGGGAAAATGTTTTATACTAAAAGTTTACTTTTTAGGTGTGATTTGGGTAAGAGCTGTTTTCTAGCTTAGTATTTTGCAGGACAAGATGTTTTAAGGAAAGAAAAGTTAGGTTTTGGTAAGAAATTTTAAATACAGTTTTAGGAGACCTAAAATCATTTACAATTTTATCTCTGGCCAGAGGCTTGAATTGGTTCTTTTTGTTTTTCTTTAATGTTTCCATATTGACAAGAGTAAACATTATAAATTTGCTTCCAGATTTTTATTTTAGGTGCTGGGGTTGTGGCTCAGTGGTAGTGTGCTTGCCTACCATGTGCGAGGGACTGGGTTCAATTCTCAGCACCACATATAAATAAATAAAATAAAGTTCATTGACAAACTACTGGTATAGATGATATAAAAAAGGAGATTTTGAATTTATTTTCAGCATAAGTTATACTTAAAATTAGAGTTATTAGGGGCTGGAATTGTGGCTCAGAGGTGGAGTGCTCACCTGGCATGCATGAGGCACTGGGTTTGATCCTCGGCACCACCTAAAAATAAAATAAAGATATTGTGTCCACCTATAACTAAAAAGTAAAAAAAAATAAAATTAGAGTAATTAAGACAATTTATTGGGTAGATTTGAAGTATTTATTTATGACTTAGAAAATGATTGCCTTGTAGATTTTATTTTAAAAAGTCATGAGCTTTTCTTAAATACTGTATACCTTAGTTGGAAAGTACACATTGAACCCAACTGTGCATTTGGAAGGGCTTTCTTATACTGTCATGAGCAAAAGCTAAAAGTAATAAATGCAAGCTGTGTCTTGATATTGCTTAGAATCTGACAAGTTGCCATCATGTTTAATGCTTTGAACTCCTTTCTGTGAAGAAGCAGCTCAAATGTAATTAACCTTCCTTGAGCTGTTTGAAGCCCACCAAACCAGGGAGAATTACCCTAAATAGGAGATTGATGTATAATGCTGTCTCTGTGAACAGTATTGCTGAAAGTTTGCTGAGACTTCTTGATTGACATGAAAGCATTCATTTAAATATATTTTCTTTTGCTGAGTGCTGCTTGATTTTTAGCTATTGAATCTTGTCACATGAGGCTTGGATATACTTTGTTTGTAGTGGATAATATGGAATTTCTGTCTGTAGTTAGGCCAAACTGTTGCCTGTAGTGATCTGGTTAAGGTTCAAACATGTCTGTTCTATTTTATCTACTGAAGTTCTTTGAGCATTAATTTTATTTTAATCTTAAGTGATAGAAGCTTGTTGTATCTGAAATAGATGAGTAGATGTGTTTAGTGCTTTAAATTGGGGGTACTGTATCAGGCAATGATTTGTCACAGAAATGGTATGTTTACTGTACAAGGCAATAAGTCATGCTGAGATACCATACTATTCCGTAAGAAGGAATGTTATCATTATGATTCTCTATCACATATATTACAAATTAAATCAAACATTTATACCATATATAGGTCCATTTTGAGGGAAGTGAAAAAAATTCACAGAGTAATTTTTTAACTCTATTTGTTTTAAAATAGATTTTCCTACCTTTTTTTAAAAAAGAAAAAAAAAATGAAGGTATAATTTCTTTTTGAAAATTGAAAAGCAATAGCCTTCTTAGTAAACTGAAAAGGTTGAGTAGAACAAAGGCACTGGAACATATAATAAAATTCTATTTACTTTAGATTAATACTTTAAAAACTGTTTTGCTAACTTCATGTTTTAATATAAGTTATTGATTAAATGTAATTGGAATTGAAAACCCAGGAAATATTTAGAGTTTTTAAATTTTGAGGATAAAATTTAAAAATATACTGATTCAAAAATAAAGATTTCAGAGGAAATATAGTATGTAGTATTTTTATTGAAATTATACTTTGTTTTCCCTTCTTCCCTATTCCTGATTAAAGTGTATGAACACAGTACTTGAATTTGTGTTTGTGAGTATGTGTATGTGTGTGTGTGTGTGTGTGTGTGTGTGTGTGTGTGTAACCACATGCACATCCTTTAGAGTCTACCTTTATTCTGATAGGTAGTTTCAGTAGTGTGGGAAGCCTTTTCAACTCATCAGCATAATTATTAATAATTAGAATCATTCCAGTGTGTATTAAAGGGCCTCCTCTAATGTTATTTCTGCAAATACTCTTAAATGTACTAAACATAAATCAGAGTACCACCCTATAACTTTAAACAGTATGTTAAATCATTGAATTACTACCTGTATATGCAAAAGTACAATACATTAAAAGATAACAAATGTAGTACTATGATTTATTTGTTTTTTCAAGGTGACCTAAATTGTTGATTTTCATGCCCAATGGATTCTGAATGTATTATTTGTACTGTCGTTATATAGCAATTTAAACCAGAAGATTTGAAGTTTTATTTTCTTGCACTACAAGTAAGAGCATTTAGTCAACAAATTTATGGTTTATTTCCATGGGTTTACTTTTGAAAAAAAACTTATAGTTAAACTTTTGTATTATAAGTAAAGCTTTGACTTATTTTATATTCATATTTGTAATATAATCTTTATTGTTTCAAAGAGTTAATATACTTTAATAAAAATAATAAATAATGTTTTAATTATTATTATCCCCCTGCTAATAACTTTATTTCTTTGAGGATATTTATTCAAAAAGACATCACTTATTTGTGTTCAAATTCTGGGTTAAAAATTTTGTTGGCAAGCTAAACATAGTGGCACACACCTGTAATACCAGCTATTTGAGAGGAAGAAGGATCCAAATTTGAGGCTATACTAGGCAACTTTGTGAGACCTTGTCTGGAAAAAAAAAAAAAGGCTGTAGTATATAGGTCAGTTGTAGAACTCTTGCTTCATGTGTGCAAGGTCTGGGTTCAACCACAGTACTACACACACACACACACACACACAAATGTTGGCAAGATACAAAGTATATATTGTAGAGTAAAAGTTACTTTAGATGTATGGAGATTCGTTTTTCCATCCACTTTAATAAATGAAAAATAAAGTAAGGTCTTATAGGTGGTATAACTGTGGATAAATTTGCAATTAAAATTCACTAGAGCTTCTAAGCCATTTAAGTCAAAAGAAGATATGATTACTATCAGAATAAACTAATGAATATCTATCAGTTGACTATCTGAACATAATCTGGCACCCACCCCCACATTCACACACCATTACCTCTTTGACTTCTTTGTGGACTGCTTTTTCCCTCATTCTCTCTGCTTCAATCACATTGGCCTCTTTGCTGTTATTTGAAAACATATAATCAAAACCACCCCCACTTCATCACGGCTGTTCCCTCTGCTTGGAGCACATATTTCCCCAGTGAAATCACATCTTTGTTCAAATAGTATCTAAGCTTAGTTAAAGTTTCCCTGGCAATCTTATTTCAAGTTACCCATTTCTAACACTTTTATCCCCTTTTCTTGTTTTATTTGCTGCCTAGTATCGTATATGCTTCATTTTTCTTTTTTTTCCCCCATTAAAGCTTAGACTCTTCAAGAATTTTACTACGTTGTTAGTTGTGTATAGCAAGCATTAAAAAAATGCATGTATCCTGAGTAGGTATTCAAAAATTGCTTGTTGAAAAAGAAAAAGGGATTTTTCCCTCAGATTTTTGGATTTGGATAAATGTAATGAGATATCTTGGGGATGAGACCGAGTCTAAACATAAAATTCCTTTGCTTCATATACACATAAGCCTGAAGACAATTTTATACAGTATTTTTTAGTGTTCCTGAATTTGGTTATGACATGTCACATGGGGTTGGGTATGGAATTTTCCACTTATGGCATCATGTCAGCACTTAGAAAATTTAATTTTAAAAAAATATCTTTCTTAGTTGTAGATGAACACAATATATTTATTTTTATGTGGTGCTGAGGATCGAACCCAATGTCTCACACATGCAAGGCAAGTGCTCTACCACTGAGCTAAAATCCCAACCCCAGAAAATTTATATTTGAGGAATTTCAAGTTTTTAGAATTTTGTATTGGGGCACACATTTAACACATATAAAAATCTTCAAGAGCACAGGAAGAGAATAATTGATATTACCTGTGGAATAGAAATTTTGAGTAATTTCTAAAAGATAGCATGTGGGTTTAGGAATAGATGAAATATAATAATGTAAAATTAGAACTACAGGGCTGGGTTGTGTTTCAGTGGTAGAGTGCTTGCCAACATGTGTGAGGCACTTTATTTTTAAATAAACAAACAAAAAATAAATAAATGTATTGTGTCCATCTACAACTAAAAAAAGAATTACAGTGGAAGTGGAGTTGTTCTAGGATTGCTCAAATCTCAGAGGTTACATAGACACAGAGTGCAGGGAAGGAGCATGGCAGTGAAGGCTGAATATGCAGTACATCACAGAGAGTATTCCACAAGAACTAATGCTACTGCAAAGTTAAGTTAGCTGAGGACAGAAATCTTCCATTGAAAGTCATTTTTGAAGATCATTTGATAGATAATGGGGAAATAAGTCAAATCAGTTTATTAAATGCTATGTAATAGGCTGAAATTAGCCTAAAATTCAGTAATAAATAGAATATAATATTATCACTGTGTACAGATAATACATAAGTGTGTTCTTTATAATGTT